TAGCTAGAGCTACCAGTTGTAGGAGTTGACTTTGAAGGGTTTACTCTCAGATATATTTTTTTTTAACAGAAGTTTTTGCCTTAGGGTGCATGCACTCGTGGGGTCGGGGGAGACAGAGACAGTGATGGTGAGTGGAAAAGTGAGAAGTCACCCCTGAGGGAGGCTGCAGTCCCTTCTCCACCTGGGATCTTGGGGATGTATGCACACACACCCGGCATGATTTTCAGGCCACTGGGTCCAGGACTCGAACCATGTTCAGCTATGTGGGAGTTCAGTGACATAACCGTCACACCATCTGCTGGCCTGTCTGATTTTTTAAAAAAAGAATTATTTTATTTATTTATTTATTTATTTATTTATTTAAATTTGACCAGCGAAAGACAGAGTGAGTGAAAGTGAGAAAGCAAGCCACCACATCCAGGATTCGAACTGTGGTCGACCATGTGGGAGTGTCCAGCACCTTAGCCACCATGCCACCTGCTGGTCCTCATCCCCCCCCCTCTGATTTTAGGTGTAATATATCAATAGTGATTTTAGGCAGAATGCAGTAAATTTAGTTTTCTTTTTTTTTTTTTTTAGAGAGAGAGTTTTTTGTTTGGGTTTGGTTTTTTGTTTGTTTGTTTGTTTGCTATAGAACACATGCGTTTGCCGGAGATTCAGAGAGAGAGGGAGATAGAAAGCATAAATCAGCCCCCCTGGGGGATGGCCACACTGCAATCCCTTCTCCATTCTCCTCTCAGTTATCTTGGGCAAGCATGCACATGTGCCCTGCATAAGTTTCAAGCCTCTGGGTCCAGGACTTGAACCGCAGTTGGCCATGTGGAAGTCCAGCGATGTAACCATTATGTAATCTGCTGGCCCCTAATTTACATTTTTTTTCCTTAAAGTTTATTCATCCATTTTTTTTCCATGAGTGCGAGAGGCTGAGGGTTAGCATCCCCAACAGAATCCTGATGCCACAGAGTTCTAGCATCCCTAGGCCCAGCCAACTCAAGTCAGCCTTGAGCACACAGGTCCCTGGCATACTCAGGAGGTCTCCATGCATGCACCCAGAACCTTTCCATGCGGGTCAGCCTGGCAGACCTTTCTGTTCTACGACGTACCGCTTCCACCTCTGTAGTTTACTTAGCTTTTATTTTTTAGGTTTCAGCCATACGGTGCATGTTCTCACCAGAGACAAAGAGAAAGTGAGAAATCATCCCCCAGGGGGAATAGCTATGCCATAATCCCTTGTCTTTCATTCTCCTCTCAGAATTTTGGCCTTGTACATACATGCACCCAGCATGATTTTCAAGCCACCAGGTCCAGGACTTGAACTGTGGTCAGCCATGTGGGAGTCCAGTGCCTTAACCACCACACCACCTGCTGGCCCAATGTAGTTTACATTTTTAAAAAGCTCCCTCTGGGACCAGCAGTTGGCATAATGGCTACGTCACTGGACTCCCAGGTAGTCAACTGTGGCTCAAGTCCCGGACCTGGTGTCTTAAAGTCATGCCGGACGTGTGTGTGTGTGCGTGCCCAAGGACGCTAGAGAAGAAGGGATTGCGGTGTGGCCATCCCCCCTGGGGGGGTGATTTCTCACTTTCTGTCTCTCTGTCTTTCTGGCAAGCGCACATGCCCTGTAACAAAAACCTCTCCAAAATAAATAAATAAATAAATAACAGCTCTCTAGAAGGCAGTAAGGGTGGAAGTGGGAAGCTGGTAGGAACTCAGGAAAGAAGTCATAGATTGGTAGATTGGGGTGGTCGCTGAGATGGACAGAGATGGCTACACTCAGGATAGAGGTGGAAGTAGACACCAGGCCTAGTGCATGGATCGAGCAGGGGAATGAGGGTCAGAGCAGGCTCTTGGTCTGTGGCTGAACGACTGTCACTGGCAGTGCTGTTGATTCCGACGGGGAGGAACAAGTCTGCCTGTTTTAGAGAGAGACAGAGACGGAAAGCGAGAGATCACCCCCCAGGGGGGATGACCATGCCACAATCCCATCTGTTCTGCTCTCAGGACTTTGGGCATGCACGCATACACGCCTGGCATGTTTTCTTTCTTTTTTAAATTTTAAATAATTATTTTATTTAACTTTTTATTTATTTTAATTTGACCAGAGAGGGACAGAGGGAGAGAGAAGGAGAGAGAGGGAGAGGGAAAGTGAAAAAGAAAGCCACCAGTTCCGGGACTCAAATCGCGGTTGGCCATGTGGCAGTCCAGCGCCCTTAACCACCACGCCACCTGCGTGCCTGGCATGTTTTAAGCTATGGGTCTGGGACTCAAACTGCGGGCAACTCCGTGAGTCCAGTAGCCATTACGCCACCTGCTGGTCCCAGGGAGGAACACATCTAAGCAGTGATACCAGGTTAAATTAAGGTTAAGATAGCTAGGTCTATACTGAAGAGGCAGGTAGGTACGGAGGCTGGAGCTCAGGCCTCGAGGTGAACACTAGGAGCCTAGCAGCCCAGCAGCACACAGCGCAGCTAGGACTTGTCACACATAGGAGGCATCTGGGGCTCTTGCTAAAATGGAGTCTGGTTCACTAGGTTTGGGTACGCCCTAAGATTTTGCATGTCTTCTGTTTTTGTTTACTTGTCAGAGGGCACGTACCCATGCCAGAGAGAAAAAGAGCGAGGAAAAAACCTTCCACCGGGGCGTGGTCATGTCGCAGTCCCTTCTCCTCAATTTCTCCATCTTGTCAAGATTTGGAACACACGGAACCAGCAGTTAGCATAATGGCTGTGTCGCTGGACTCCCATGTAGTTGACTGCGGTTTGAGTCCCGGACCCGGTGGCTTAAACTCGTGCCGGGCGCGTGTGCGTGCATGCCCAAGATCCCGAGAAGAGAATGGAGGAGAATGGATTGAGGCATGGCCCTCCCAACTGGGGGGGGATTTTTTAGTTTCTGTCTCTCCGTCTCTCTCTGTCTTTCTGGTGAGCGCTGCGCCCTATAGCAAAAGCCTCTTAAAAAAATAATTTTGGAACTGCACATACATGCACCTACATACTTTTCAAGCCTCTGGGGCTGGGATGCCATGTGGGATCTGGCTCCCTTAACCATAGGCTATGAAGACCCGCTCATCATGTTCATTAAGTGAATACATTAAAAAATATATATATATCCAAGTATGCCCCAACTCATTCCTTGACACCAGTATTACCCTAATACCAAAATCAAACAGTCACTGTAAGAAAACTACAGAGCACTATCTTTTTTTTTTTTTATAAAGGCTTTTGTCTGAGGATATGTGTGCTCCCTGGAGAGAGAGAGAGAGACAGAGACAGTGAGAGGGAAAGTGAGAAATCAACCCCCACAGAGGAATGGCCACTCCGCAATCCCATCTCCTCCATTCTCTTCCTGGGATCTTGGGCACGATTGCAAACAAGCCCAGTGTGAGTTTCAAGGCACCAGGTCTGGGACTCGAACCATAGTCGGCCATGTGGGAATCCAGCGACATAACTGCTATGCCATCTTCTGGTTCCAGTATCCTGACTCTTAAGAAAAGGGGGGATCCAATAGGAAGGGGTGATTACAGGAGCACATTCCTTGAATAGTGAAGGGTCCGGCCCAGTTCCAGTCATCCTAGCCCGCCATTGGCCCTGGTGAGAGTCCCTGGGGGGCTGGGCCTCCTCCACGGTGGGGTTGCTCAGCTGATGCCTTCTCCCGTCTTCCAGGGGGAACTCCGACACTCAGAGGCATGGGCTGGGTCCACGCCATCCTGCTGGCCCGAGGCCTTGCCAGGGGCTGGGGCGGCGTCTGTGGGGCTGCCCTCTCTCAGGTAAGCACTGGCCAGGCAGAGTCAGGGTGGAGGGGGGAGAGCCCGGGATCTGCTCCTGATCCCTCCAGCGTCTATGCTGCGAGGCCCGCTCTGCCGGGCCTGGGATGTCTGTCTGTTCTGTTTTTCTTTTCCTGTTTTGTCAATAAGTTTGTCGTTTTTACCTGGAATAAAGTCATAGAAAATTGTCTGGTTTAGCTCCCAGCAGCCTGCTCCTGAGCTCTGAGGAAGCTTGCCTTCTTCTGGGCTACCCGATCTTTCTTCTGGGCAAGGGACATCTTGGGACGATCCCACCTGTTCTTTTTAGCTGCCTTCTTGGGCTTCTTTTCCTCTACTGGGTTCTCTCATATAGCAGTGTGAGCTTTCCTGTACATCTCCTCCATCACGTCTGGAGTTACATTATGCTTATTTAATTCCATTTGTTATTATTTTTTAAAATTTAACCAGAGAGACAGAGAGAGAAAGGGAGAGCAAGAAAGCAAACCACCAGGTCCAGGACTTGAACCGTGGTCTTCCATGTGAGAAACCAGTGCCTTTAACCACCACGCCACCTGCCAGCCCCTCATTCTTTTCTTTTTCTATGCCCTGTTCATCTTTCAAACTGCCAGGGCTGGGCTTTGAACCTGTGGTCAGCCGTGTGGGATCCGGCTCCTCGTAGTTTTTACCAGAGGAGGAGAGGAGGAGCGGGCTCCACAGTGTCTGGTGATGTGAGATCCCTGGCTCTGGTCTGTGGGATCCTAGTCACTTTCTCATGTGCCCGCCTGGTCCAGGCTGATCTTCCCAGACCGGCGGTAATCCGAACCACGGACGCCGGGTGCTGTGGGGCTTCTCTTGGCAAGCCTTACGGCCACCCCAGGGCCCAGCCCTGTTCCAGCGCACTCTGGTGGTGTCTGATCTTCCGTTTGTAACCACAGCACCAAACGTCCACCCGGCAGTCCCCAGGATGCTGGGCGGCCGAGATCCCAGCAGCGGCCCTCTGTCCCCAGGTGCCCCTCCAGGTCCCTCGGGGCCTCCACTGCAGCGCAGCCGCCCTCAGCTCCGAACTGTCGCTGGTGTCCCGCCCGCCGGACCCCCCGCGGAGGCCGGCGAGGGCCCTGGCGCCCCACGAGGAGCTGTTCAGACAGGCGCCGGGTGAGGAGCGGGACAAGGCGAGCTTCGTGCGGGCAGTGCGCAGCTTCGAGCAGCACAGCGTGCGCAAGCGCGGCCACGTGGACTTCATCTACCTGGCGCTGCGCAAGATGCGCGAGTTCGGCGTGGAGCGCGACCTGGCCGTCTACAACCTGCTGCTCGACATCTTCCCCAAGGAGGTCTTCAAGCCTCGCAACGTCATCCAGCGCATCTTCGTCCACTACCCGCGGCAGCAGGAGTGCGGCATCGCGGTGCTCCACCAGATGGAGAGCCACGGTGAGAGAGACAGAGACAGAGAGAGGGGAAGTGAGAGATCGCCCGGGGGGAGGGGCGGAAGACGGCCATGCCCCCGTCCCTTCTCCATTTTTGGGGGACGCATACACATGTACCCAGCGTGGTTTTATTTTTTTCTTTAGATTTTTTTTTTTTAGAAGTGTTTTTTTTTTTTGGCTGTAAGGCACCTGTGCTTGCCAGACAGAGACAGAGACAGACAGAGATAAAAAAAAGCAAGAAATCACCACAATCTCTTCTCCTCTAGGGATTTTGGGTACGCACGCACAGGCGCCCGATGTGAGTTTTAAGTCTCCAGGTCCAGGACATGAACTGTGGGTCTCTATGTGGGAGACCAACCATGTAACCATTGCGCCATCTGCTGGTCCTGCCCAGTGTGCTTTTCTTTTTTCTTTCTTTTCTTTTCTCTTTTTTTGGAGAGGCTTTTGCTATAGGGCGCGTGCGCTCACCAGAAAGAGAGAGACAAAGAGACAGAAAGTGAGAAATCACCCCCCGGGCTGGCCACGCCGTAATCCCTTCTCCTCCATTCTCCTCTCGGGATCTTGGGCACGCACACACACGTGCCCGATGTGAGTTTAAGCCACTGGGTCCGGGACTTGAACTGCAGTCGACTACATGGGAGTCCAGCAACATAGCCATTACGCTAACTGCTGGTCCTGCCCGGTGTGTTTTTCAAGCTGTCAGGTTCGGGACTCAAATCACGGTTGGACATGCGGGATCCAGCGCCTTAACTACCAAGCCACCAGTTGGCCCTCCTGTCTTTTTCTGTCTTGCTCTCCTGACTCCGTCTCTCCTCTCTCCGTCTCTCCTCTCTCCGTCTCTCCTCTCTCCGTCTCTCCTCTCTTAATTGCCTCCCTCTAACTTCTCCCTAGTCTCTGATTCTGTCCTCCCTGTCACCAAGTCTCTGACTTCAATTTTCTTTTCCTTTTCTCTCTCTCTCTCTCTCTATTTTTCTCGTGTGGGGGTGCCTGCTCACCAGAGTGAGGGAGAGAGGACAGCATCCCGCATGGGGCAAGGCCACACTGCAGCCCCTCGTCCGTTTCTCTTTAAGGGACTTTGGGCACTCACACACAGATGTGCATGTGTCTGGTGTGTTTTTCAAGCTGTTGGGTCTGGGACTTGAACTGTGTAGTCGGCCATGTGGGATCCAGCGTCGTAAACACCGTCTCACCCTGTTCGTTTATTTTTAAAATTTTGCCAGGGGCGGGGCCCAGCCAGTGGCAGGGGCTGGACTACCATATGGCTGCCTGCAGTTTCAATCCTGAACCTGGTGGCTTGCTTCCTCACGTTCCTTCTCTTTCTCTCTCTGGTGAGTGCAAGTACTATACAGCAAATTAAAAAAAAAAAAAAACGAATAAGAGCCAGCAGGTGACACGGTGGTTAAGGCACTGAACTCCCATATGGCCTACTGCAGTTCGAGTCCCACACCTGGTGACTTGCTTTCTCACTTTCCCTCACTGTGAGTGTCTTTCTCTGGTTAACATAATAATAATGGGGGCTGAGAAGTGGCATGGTGGTTAAAGGCGCTGGACTCCCACATGGCCAACCACAGTTCAAGTCCCGGACTTGGCAACTTACTTTCTCACTTTCTCTCTCTCTCTCTGATCAAATTGAAAATAATGATAATAAATAAATAATTCTTTTTAAAAATATAAATAATGATAAATAAAATTAAATGGGGGCTGGCAAGTGGCATGATGGTTAAGGGCACTGGACTCCCACATGGCCAACCATGGTTTGAGTCCGGGACCTGGCAGCTAGCTTTCTCTCTCTCTCTCTGTTTCTCTCTGGTCAAATTAAAGTAAATAAAATAAAATAAATAAATAAATAAATCTTTAAAAACGGTGCATACTCACCAGAGATAGACATAGAGCTAGAGAGGAAGGGAAGACGCCCCACCCAGTGAGCGTGGCCATACCATGATCCCCTGTCTTCCACCTCTTCCTGCTTGCAGGATTTTGAGCACACACACGCACCCAGTGTGTCTGTTACTCGGCCAGTCCGGACTCGCACCCCGTGGTTGGCCAGGGATACAGCTGCCTTAACCACCGGGCCACGGGCAGCCCCCCTTGACATCAGTTATCTCTCTCTTCTCGTCCTTCCCTGCCCTCCCTGGGACTCTGCCTGCATCTGCCGGGCCCAGGGGTGATGCCCAACAAAGAGACGGAGTTCCTGCTGGTGCAGATCTTCGGGCGCAGAAGCTACCCCATGCTCAAGTTCCTGCGCATGAAGCTCTGGCTCACCCGCTTCAAGAACATCAACCCCTTCCCTGTGCCCCACGAACTGCCCCAGGACCCCGTGGACCTGGCCAGGCTGGGGCTGCAGCACATGGAGCCCGACCTCAGCGCCAGGGTCACCGTGTACCAGGTACCAGCCTGTCCACGCCTGCCTGCCACCCTGGGCTGGGCCCATCATCCCTGCCCTGGGCTCCTCCACACCCCGGGAGACGATGGGGAAAGGAGTTATCCCCTGGCCAAGCCCTAATCCGGGTGCTTCCACGGCCCTTACCCCTGCCCTCACCCCTACTCAGGCTTGACCTGTTGGAGACCATGCAGGTTGGTAGAACAAAGTACCCGAAAAAATGCTTTTAATAACTTAAGAAATGAGGCATAATGGTTACATCGCTGGACTCCCATGCAGCTGACCATGGTTTGAGTCCTGGACCTGGCAGCTTAAACTCACACAGGGTGCATGTGTGTGCGTGCCCAAGAACCCAAGAAGAAAATGGAGAAGGGATTGCGGCGTGGCCATCCCCTCTGGGGAGTGATTTTTCACTTTCTGTCTGTCTGTCTGTCTCTGTCTTTCCAGTTAGTGCACACGCCCCACAGCAAAAAACTCTCAAAAAAAAAAAAAAAG